GCACCCCAACCCAGGGAATGGTGTCACCCACTTTCAGGCTGGATCTCCCACATCAATTAGGACAATCACGACAGTCCCCTACAGACACTCCCTCAGCCCACCTGACCCAGATGATCCCTCATTAAGACTGTTTTCCTAGATAGTTCAAGGGTAGTCCGCTAATTTCTTTCCAGTAGGCTTCATCTACTGAAGGTTCTCCAGCGACGTGCATGCTGTGTGTTTGTGTATGCTTGTGTGGGTGTGGAGTGTCCATGTAATATGGAGGTCAGATGATGTCCCAATGTTTTTCATGGTCTTTCCCCTCTCCAGCTCCTCCCAGATTCTCCCCACTTTGCTACCCAGCCAACTTCACATTTTCTCTCTCAGAAAAAAAAATCAATACAAACAGATTAATTTTTTTTTTTTTGGTGTTTTCAAGACAGGATTTCTCTGTGGCTTTGGAGGCTGTCCTGGAACTAGCTCTTGTAGACCAGGCTGGTCTCCAGCTCACAGAGATCTGCCTGCCTCTGCCTCCCTAGTGCTAGGATTATAGGCATGTGCCACCACCACCCGGCTAGCAAACAGATTAATTTAATAAAGAAAAACCAACTTTAGGAGGGCACTAAGCTCTGAATGACAGCTGTCTTGATTGCACTTTCTCATAACTGTGATGAAAGTGATTGAAGAACACATTATTTTGGATCACAGTTTTGAAGGTACAGGCCATAGCATGAATGGCATACACACAGGTATGTGAGGCTACTGGCCACATTGCATCTGCAGCCAGGAAGCAGAGAGAGAGATGAAGTAAGGTACTCAGCTCACTTTATTTTTATTCAATTCAAAAACTCCAACCCAATGGGATAGAGCCACCTACATTTTAGGGTATGTCTTCTCAACTCAACTAACCCTACCTAGAAACTCATCCCTGGCACACCTGGGGGCTTGACTCCTGGGTGATTCCAGAAGCTATCAAGCTGACAATATTAACCATCGATAGCAGTTTCCATTCTGCAAACAGGAAAACCTAAGACTCAGAGAGCTGGGGGAACTGTCTGCTCATGGTGCCAGAAGGAGAGTCTGCCTGTCTGATAAATTCTTCATGCTCAGCTGGGGACTTTCCCAGCTCTATAGACACATCAGCAGAGAAGGGGCATCTCCTTCCCTAAGAAGGTCAGGCAGCATGCAGGCTCTTGAACAGGATATTCTCCACCATAGTAATAGCCCTCCTCCTGAGCGATACATGCCTTGCAATCATATTCTGAACTACCCTTCCCATTTCCCTCCTGGGGCCCCCCTGACTCTAGTTCCTCAGAAAGGTCACATCTTTTTTCACTTCCCGCTCCTGGCACTCTCCCTCCTATAACTGAAGTACTGTTCCACCTCCCTATTCCATCCCTGCTTCTGTAATTCCTCTTTTCAGAATGCCATGTCTTGGTGGTGACCTGAATTCAATCCCTGGAACCCACATAAAAGTTGATGGGAAGAAACTGACTCTGCAGGCTGTTCTCTGACCTCCACACACATGCATCACGTGTGGCATGCACATACATTATGCAGAGAGAAGAGGAGTGGGGAGACAGATGAGAAGGACTACTTTTGTGCAGGTCTAGTGAGGTAAGCTACTGCTGCTATGAGTTCCTGGGGGCAATGACCATGTCATATACGGAGGACAGCTCCCACTGCTCCTCCTCTTTCTGCAGCTCCTACATTCTTTCTGCGTCCTCACCTGAGCTTGGAGGGGATGACATAGATGTCCAGTTTAGGGCTAAGCACCCAAAAGTTGTTTGTTCTCTTCACACTGACCAGTTGTGAGAAGACTGGATCCATCAATCCATCAACTTGGTCATCATGGATGAAGGAAGGGCTTGTAAGCCCCACCCTTCCGAGTACACTGGCACACTCACCCATAAATGTAGTGGGTTTTATACACACATGTGCACGCATGCAGGCGAGTGCGTGCACACACGCATACACACACACACACACACACACACACACACACACACACACACACACACAGGAGGGGGAGTAGGAGGGGGTTGGAAGGAGGATTTGGTGAAAGGGAAGAGTAAGATAGAATGGTGGTGGGTGGAGCTTTCATGAAAGAAGATGGCAGCAGAAGCACGAGGCAGCTGATCACGTTGCATCCCTAGTCCAGAAACAGAGATCAATGAATGCTGTTGATCAATTCACTTTCTGCTTTTTATTCAGTCCGGACTCCAGCCAGTGGGATGGTGCCACTCTTGGTCGGGGGGGGGGGGTGGTCTTTGCACCCCTATTAACCTACTCTGAAACTCCCTCACAGACATGCCCAAGGCTCATTCCCACGGTGATTCTGGATCCTATCAGGTTGGTAATCAATGTTAACCGCCACAGTAGGTCATCTCATGGTAGTAGATTCCACTAAGTGAGCTGAGAGCCTCAAAAAGAGACTCAGAGAGCTGCCAAGATGGCTCCATAGATAAAGGGGCTTGCCACAAATCCACCAAGCTGCCTTCCATCCATGGAACCCACATGAGAAAAACAGACACACTTCCACTGTGGTATGCCTCCTCCTCCTCTCCTCATTCTCCTCCTCCTCCTCCCCCTCATCCTCCTCCTGATTAATAAAAAAAGAACCCCAGAGCTCATGTGGTACCTACCACATGTCTGTCATCACAACACTTAGGAAATGGAGGCAGAAGAATGCGGATTCAGAGTAAACTGTGGCTGTATATCAAGGCCAACTTGGACTAAGTGAGACTCTGTCTCAGAAAAAAAAAAAAAAAACAACAACAACCAAAAAGAGAAAGGGAAAGGGAGGGAGAGGAAAAGAGAGAGAACATACCGCAGGGGACCTGAGTTTGGCTCCCAACACACACAGAGGGCAGCTCACAACCACCGTAACTTCAGTTCAAGATAATCTGATATCCTCTTCTGGTCTCCTCAGCCATTGCACCACACACACAATCCACACACATATACACATAATTAAAAATAAAAACAAAGCTTTTTAAAAAAGATAAGAGACTCCAAAGAACTCGCTGACCCCTTCCAGCCTGTGAAGACACAGTAGTAACAGGAAGCAGCACCCCACATGCAGCACCCCACATGCCAGCTGCAGCTTCCTCCAGTTCCCTGGAGTCCAGAATTGGGAGACCTCAGTTTCCACTGTTCTGGAGCCACTGGGGCTGCAGCCCAAACACACTGGGGTTGCTCTAGTGGTCATTATATGGGCAGGCACTTCTTTGATGTTGGTAGCGGTGCTGGGGAGGGACCCAGGGCCTTGTGCAAGCTGAAGTCCCAGCCCTAGGATATGGAGATGTGTGTGATTGGAGCTATATATGTGTCATGTGATCTCACACATTTACAGGATGGGGTGCTTGCTGTCATATTCCATCAATATTACACTGGAGCCTCATTTGCGGCTGACATCCTGTGAAATTCTTCCCTCATAACAAGTGAGCCGGAGGCTGGAGAGATGGCTCAGAGGTTAAGAGACATTTTAAGAAGTTGAGAGCCATCAGAGGTTAAGACCTGCTCTTCCAAAGGTCCTGAGTTCAGTTCCCAGCAACCACATGGTAGCTCACAACCATCTATAATGAGATCTGGTGCCTTCTTCTGGTGTGTAGGCATAACACTGTGTACAGCACAGCCCATCTGGGAGCAACGTTTTATCAGTGTTTGTCACCTGGGAGGCACAGAGAGGATCTCAGGTCACCTAGAAAAGCCAGAGCAGTACCTATCAGGTCAAATCTAACAAGGAAAGGCTGGACATCAGGAAGCACTCTGCCCTTGAGGCTGAGTTATCCATGTCAGGGAGACCACATAGAATAATTTCTCCATCAGGCATTCATTGGTGGTGCACGCCTTTAATCCCAGCACTTGGGAGGCAGAGGCAGGTGGATCTCTGTGAGTTCCAGTCCAGCCTGATGTACAGAGCAAGTGCCAGGACAGGCTCCAAGGCTACACAAAGAATCCCTGTCTGGAAAAACAAACAATAGCAATAATAATAATGTCTGAAAATCTCCATCCCTAGTTTTTTTCTCTCTCCCTCCTCTCCCCCCCCCCCCCCTCCCCCCCCCCTCTCTCAGGAGTGCAGACACTTGGGTGCCACACTGAGTGTGTAGCTGTCAGAGGAACACCTTAGGAGAGTCCTCACTTGCACATTCGTTGAGGCAGGGTCTCCTCTACCTCTGTTTCTGACTCCCAGATGGCTGATTTGCAAGTCTTCAGGGATTTTCCTCTCTCTACCTCCCATTTCATTGTGGAGCACAGACATGTGCTACAGTATCCAGGGTTTTTTCCCATGGGTTCCAGGGATTTAAACTTAAGTCCTCAAGCTTACACAGAAAGCATTGTACCCACTGAGCCATCTCTTTGGCTCAATGTGTGTAAATCTCAAGTGATCCCATCGCTAGAATAGATGATGTTTTACTTGGGCATTGGATTAAACTTTACCCTGACAATTCACAGCAGAAATACTACTTTTTCTTGTTTTTTTCTCCTCCTCTTCGTTTCTTTCTCCTGCTCTTCATCTTCTACTTCTGCCCCTAGCCTCTAATGTTTCTAACTTGATATGTGGCCAGTGATAACCTTGAAATTCTGATCTTTCTGCCTCTATCTCACGGTTCTGGGATGAGAGTTACACACAACCACACCCAGTTTCTGCAGTGATGGGGATTGAACCCAGGGCATTGTGCATGCCAGGCAAGCAGTCTACCTACCGAGGCATGTCCTCAGCCCCTCAATGCTCCATTGCACAGCTGAAGTCTCAGTACTGGATGTGGCTTGAAAAAATGAAATTGGCATCAAAATACACAGCATACCTCCTAGCCCAGACTGGCACCTTCTAGCTGTGTCAAGCAATGCTTCTCTCCCCACACTTTTCCGGGGTGAGGATGCCCCCATCCTGTTCCCTTTTTTTCCTCCTGAGTCAGAGAAGAATGGACCTCACAGGGGGTGATCCAGAGGGCCATGGGGTTATATAAATCCCAGGGCAGAGAGGAGGTGGACATCGGGGAGTGAGGAAACAGAAAATGGCAGGAGAGCCAGAGCCCCAGCGGCCAAAGAACCATGGTGAGGCTGGGCACCTCTGGGTGCTCTCAGGGGAGCTGGGTCCAGGATCCAGGGTGATAAGGGCCTGACCGATAGCTTGGGGGTAAGGGAGGTGGCTGAGCTTTGGAGGTCAGCTGTTGTGTTCTGTCCCATGCAGAGGAGATCACATTTGGAGGCAAGGGATTTGCTGAGAGCAACCCCCAGGGTCTCATTCCCAGTTGCAAGAGCATGCCATGTACTGGGGTGATTCAGGGGTACAGGTGTCAGGGTCCTCTGAAGAATGAACACAGCAGGGCAGGATCTGCTCCTGGGACCTCAGCTCTGCCTATCTGCCCATCCTGCAGAATGTCTGACCCGAGTCCCCTGGCTTCTTCTGCTCCTCATCTCTCTGGGCCTCTTTGTGCTGATGTTGGCCATCCTGGTTCAAGGTCAGACAAGGCAGGGCTGGGGAAGGGGGTCTGGAATTCAGAACCCTTTTAGGTTGTTTTTTGTTTTGTTTTTGTGAGGTTTTGTCTGTTTCTTATTTTGTTTACTATTTTATTTTTGCACTTGTTACACAAGAACTCTAGTATGGGACACTAACTAAGCTTTAAGATTTTCCTCTGGGATGATCCTTGCCTACCCCCCAAATTCATCAGAGCTGTGACATCTAAGCTGCACATCCCTCGTTTCATCTGTGACCAGGGGCAGCTGACTGTTCCTCTCTGAAATGGGGCTCAGAGCTGAACTTGGAGCTGAACTTGGCACAGCCAGGTAGCATCAGTGCTCATGGAGGGTGTGGCTGTGCTCTTCTCTCTTGCAGTTTCCAGGATTCATGGATACCCCCAGGGACAGACTCTGGATCAGCAGGGGAGCTCCAGCTTGGGTGAGGGATAACTGGGCTCTGAGTGGGAGAGGACTCTGAGGCTGTGTGAGGTGGGCGAGCATGGGCACAGGCATGCTGGGTGTGTGACAGGATGTGGGAGGCCATGGACCTGTGTGAGGTCCTGTGTCCTGGCAGTGTTGGGACTAATGGGGTCTGAGGTTCAGTGTTCTAGCCTGTGACATTGGCTCCTGGGGTCACTGTGACCACCAAAAGTGATCTTGTGGGTCCAGCTCTGCATCAGGCATACAGTTGGTGCTTAATTGTTGCAAACCTCCTCTTGTAGATGCTGTTCCTCATGAGCAGACACACTCCAGCTTGGAGCAGATCCAGCATCAGCTGACTCAGATCAATGCCTCACTGGGTGAGGCTCCAGGGCCTGAGTTAGGAGGGAGCTGAGGGCTCAGCAGAGGGGTTGGCTCCACCTTCTGGGGCTTCCTCTGAGGTGGGCAGGATAGAGCATGGGGACTATGTCTAGGTTTTGAGACCACCGATTTGGTAGCTGAAATAGAAACCCAACCCTGGGCTCCAGGGCCCGAGGCAGAGGGGAGAAGAGAACCCAGGCCCTGAGCTCACGCACCCCCACTGCACTGTGTGCACTGCAGCTGGCCTGTGCCGGCCCTGCCCCTGGTACTGGGAGCTCTTCCAGGGAAGCTGCTACCTCTTCTCCAGGACTCTGGGCAGCTGGGAAGCCTCAGCCTCCGCCTGCCAGGCTCTTGGAGCTCACTTGGTGATTGTCAACAGTATTGAAGAGCAGGTGAGTGGGCCCAAAGAAGTCCTTCCATCTTACTTTGTCCTAGGGATTGGATTCCAGATGGGAGGCTGTGGGACATGGAGGAGATGCAGTCTTGTGGGGGGGGGCTGCCTGTAGGAGGAAGCACAGTGGAGTGGGGAGGTCCTGTAGGGGAGGAACACATGAGAGGGGGTTAAGTCTGAAGGGAGTCAGAGAAGCTTCGAGACATTGTGTGGCCCTCTTGGGACACACCTATGAGCTGAGATATAAGTGAACATATTTCCACATGCATGCACTTTGACCTGTATGCATGGCATGCATTCACATGCCAGTCCACACAACTCGACTAAGCACACTAGGCTTGAGTGCAGAAAGAACTTGTGTGGGAGGCAGGGAAGGGTGGGACTGAGGATGAAGGATGGAGGATGGCATCACACACCTTTATCCTGACTGCCGCATCCATTCAGAGATTCATGAAATACTGGAATATGAGGAAGAACCGGCGCTCTTGGATCGGCCTCAGTGACCACAGACATGAAGGTTTCTGGCATTGGGTGGATGACACCCCCCTCCAGCTCAGGTGACCGACCACTCAGAATCCAAGGCTCAGCAAGTAGCTGGCAGTGCGATGGCCCTCACTCTAAACACAACCTTCAGTGTTGAAAACATGCAGAGGGCATAATAACTGCAGCCCCATATCACCTGGGCATCCCCCACTCCTCCCTTAAGTCCAAAATCCAGAGTCCTCATTTTTGTTTGGCTTGGCTGACTCTCATGGTGGCCAGGTTAAAACCCACATTTTCCTATAGCTCTTCCATGCACTCCCACTGCCCAGCTGGTTCTTGGTCTTTTCCCATGGAAGACCCTGTCCAGGTCTTCTTTGGGGCTTTTGGGGCAGGGTCTGGGCAGGATTGCTCTGATGGCTGACCACATTTGCAGCTTCTGGAAAAAAGGGGAGCCCAACAATGATGAGGATGAGGACTGCGTGGAGCTGTTCATGGATGACTGGAATGATAATAAGTGCACTGAAGAAAACTTCTGGGTCTGTGAGCAGCCCTCGGCTCCCTGCCCTGGTCACTGAGCATCTGTGCTTCTCCTAGGCATGCAGGCAACTTGGGGCACTCTGCTTTAGTTCCTGCCGCCTTCTTCATCCCCACTTTGGGATCCCAAGAGAGTCCCTGAGACACCCTGGCCTGCAATGTTTCCCTCTTCTTCTGTGGGTGATCTCAGTTGCCCTTCTCAGCCCATGACCCCCAGGAGAGTCACGCATGAGTGGGTTGGGGTATAGCTCAATGACACACAGCTTGTCTAGCAGGAGCAGGTTTCTGGGTTTCACCCCCAGAACTAAAATAAAAAAATGAACAGAAATTCACATGTGGATTCTCTATTCCTGGACACCATCTTTATTAGTAAAGCTTTGAAATGTTTGATATTAACTAGGATACCTGTGTCTACAGTACCTTTGGGTTGTGAAGCCTTTTTTTTTCTTTTTCTTTTTTCCCTTCTTTTTCTTTTTTCTTCTCTCTCTCTCTCTCTCTCTCTCTCTCTCTCTCTCTCTCTCTATGTCTATCTCTCTTTTGTGACAGAGTTTCTTGTGCCTCTGAATCAGGTCATCCTTGAACTCACAGAGATCTACCTGCCTCTGCCTCCTGAACAGTGAGGTGAAAAGCATGAAGCTCCACACCTGGAAGAATCAGTTTTTTGTTTTTTTTTTTCATTTTTAATTTGTGTTGGTACTATACACCTGCTGAGTGCATTCATATTCATTCATAATCACCTTGTCTCTTTCACCTTGAGCCTCTCAGTCCCTCTGGCACTACAGGCCATGGGAAGGAGGACACCCCACCATCCCTGCACAGCACCTCTCCTCATGAAAGCTATGAAAACTGTCTCCAGAGCCTGCTGTCTCCCCAGCCAGGAAGGCTCCTTTCCTTTGTGATGACAAAGGCTCAGCCTCCCCCTAGTGTCTTGAAACCTAAGGGAGTTTTTAGCATCTCAGAGGAAAATTCTCCCTCAGTCCTCTGGGTGGCGCCCGACATCATGAAAAGCGTTGTGCTTGCTCTGCTGCCTCTGACCTCCTCATGACTGCCTGGCTTTCCTCACTGTCCTAGGAAGCAAAGAGAGAGCCTGTCCCTGAGACAAGGACCTCCCTGATCAGGGACCACTCCCTCCCTCTGCACTTGCCTGATGGCCTGAGCACCTCCTACCTTGCTGACTGCTGCTACTATTTTTGGAGTTAGAAAGAATTTAATTTTTTTATTATACAGAAGCCTACAGTTATGAAACCTTGGATAACTTAAAGTAACTGTAATTTTAGAGTCCTTGGATATTTCAGACAAATTTTGCAATTTTAAAGAGACCTCGGACATCTTAAAGAGGCTGGATTTTTTTTCTTGTTATTGTTGTTTTTGTTTTGTTTTTCAGGACAGGGTTTCTCTGTGTAGTCTTGACTGTCCTGGGACTTGCTCTGTAGACCAGGCTGGTCTCTAACCCACAGAGATCCACCTGCCTCTGCCTCCTGGGTGCTGGGATTAAAGCATGGGCCACCATCACCACCCAGGCAAAAGGCTGAATTTTTAAAGTTGCTTGATTTAAAAACAAAAACAAAAAAAATACTGAGAAATTTTAGAAGCTGAAATATTTTAGGTTGTGACATCAATATTAAGATGAGATCTTGAGGATAAACAAAAAAGGGAAATGTTATGGTTTGGCAGTAACTGTATTTGTGTGTCAAGTTGACAAAGGGTGTATTGCCCTCTTTGGTATTTTTATCAATGTGCCACAAGCTAGAGTTATCTGAGAAGAAAGAACCATGATTAGAAAATGCCTCTGTAAGATTTGCCTATAGGCAAGCCTGTGGGTTATTTTGATTACTGACTGATGTGGAGGCCCAGCCTATTGTGGATTGTGACACTGCTACAAAGACAGACCTGAGTCTATAAGTAAGCAGGTTGAGCAAGCCAGCAGGCAGTGTTCTTCCATGACTTCTGCTTCAGATCCTGCCTCCAGGCTCCTGCCTTGATGATAGACTGTGATCTAGATGTATAAAATAAAATAAACCCTTTCTTCCCTAAGCTGCTTTTGGTCATGGCGTTTTATCACAGCAGTACAAACTCTAAGACAGCGGCTATGTTATTTCTTTCATTGTTGTAACAAATTGTTTGATAAAAGCAGATGAAGGATTTATTCTGGCCTGTTGTTGAGGATGCAGCCCACCATGGTATCAAGAATGCAAGTAGCTGGCTACTTTGCATTTGGAGTTATGAATCAGAGAAGGATGGATACTATGATAAGTTTGCTTTTTCATTGCTTGTGGGTTTATTCAGGGCCACAATACAGCCCTTCAGATGGTGTTACCCACTTTGGCCCTCCTCTGAAAATACCCTCAGAGCCGGTGATGGCTGATGCTGTGAATATATGTTTCTCTTATTGATTGATGAATAAAGCTGCTTTGGCTAATGGAAAGGCAGGATGTAGACAGGCAGGAAGTATAGGCAGAGCTACCAGGCTATAAGAATGCTGGGAAGAGGAACACGGAGAGAAGTAACCAGAGAGATGCCATGTAGCTACTGGAAAGGTAGGACATTCCGGCATTCTTCAGTAAGATAAGGCCATGTGGAAATACATAGATTAATAGTTATGGGTTAATAATTAAGAGAAAGTTAGCCAGTAAGAAGCCCAGGCCATTGGCCATACAGTTTATAATTAATATAAGCCTCTTTGTGTTTATTTGGGACTGAAGGGCAGCAGGACCTGGCTAGACAGAAACTTCTGTATACAGATGGCTATTCTTTTCTCTTTTTTTTCTTCTTTTTTTGGTTTTCGAGACAGGGTTTCTCTGTGTAGCTTTGGAGCCTATCCTGACACTCGCTCTAGAGAACAGGCTGGCCTCGAACTCACAGAGATCTGCCTGCCTCTGCTTCCTGAGTGCTGGGATTAAAGGTGTGGGCCACCAACGCCCGGCTTCAGATGGCTATTCTTGGTTGTCAACTTAACATCTGGAATGAACTATATTCCAGAAACAGAGAGAGCACACCTGTGAGAGTTTTTGCTTGGTTTGAAGTGGGTGCATCTGCTCTAGTCCAGACCTTTGAGGTAGGAAGACACACCTCTTTGATCCGAATCTCTAGGCAGAAAGACAACCCTTTCTGTCTATACTTTTCTTCTGGAAGCCTATATAAGGACATGGAAGAAGGAAGCTTTTGCTCTTTGCATGCTTGCTCTCACCTTACTAACAAGTTCATCCCTTTACAGGCATTAGAGCCTATTCTTTGGTATGCCAGTATCTACTGAAGACCAACCAAAACATCCAGATAGATATGTATATATATGTACATCACTGGAGAGACTAATTTTTCCTTTGTAAGTGAATGTCAATTGAAGAAAGCTTCTTGGTTTGTGATGGGAACCTGTGTCCACTTCCTCGTCTCACCACTAGAATCCTGTGTGGCTTGAACCTATGCAGGCCCTGTGCATGCTACCACAGTCTCTGTGAATTCATATGTGCATTAGTCTGGAGAACACTGTTTCTTTGGGGTCGTCCATACCCTCTGATTCTTAAAATAATTCTACCTAAGGGGAGGGGTTTGATGAAGACACCCCATTTAACACTGAGTGCTCCAAGATCTCTCAGTCTCTGCATCCTGTCCAGTTATGGACTTCTGTGTGAGTGAATTCCCATCTACTGAAAACAGAAACTACTCTGATGATGGCTGAGTAAGCACTTATCTAGGGGTAAAGCAGGTCTTTAGGAGTCATTTTATTACTGTTTTTAAGGAGAACAATAGTACTTGGTTTTTCCCTAGGCCCAAGTCCTATTCAGTCTTAGGTTCTAGGACAGCCGAGTAATTTCAGTGATGGGGGTTCCACTCATGAAGCAGGCCTCAAATCCAGTCAGAGATCAGTTGGTTACTGCTACAACATTTGTGCCACTAGTGCATTACCATAACATGCAGGCAGGCCATCATTATAGATCACAGGATTAGTAGCTGCATTGGTGTTTGCCTTTCTTCTCTGATATGACGCAGAGTATCTTTCATCAGTAGTGGGTGATGGCTCTAGTCAGGTACCAGCTCAATCTCTCCATGTCCCATTCCATAAGTGTTGTCTTCAGCAACAGGACCTTACCATCAGTTCGTGGAGAGCAAGCAATAGTCTTGGCAATCACATAAGATGTTTGAGGGTTTCCATGAGGTCCCTTTGGCCAACCACTCATCTAGATATAACCCATTCCTGGTACTGGAGGTTTCACATGGTGACACGTCTAGTTGGGGCATTGTCTCACTCATTATTTGGTGACTCCATTTAGACGTCTTTCATAAATGTATATATTTAAAGAAGCTTCTATGAGCGGGTTTCCATGTGACCCTTCAAATGGCCCTTAGTGACAGTTGTCCCTCTCCATATTCCCTCCCTTACCCTCTTAAGGGTTACTGTGTGCGCTCAAAGATGAACTGTAGTCCGTGATGGTAAGACTTCTTTATTCAGGTAAACACCAGAGCAAAACGCAAGCCAGAGCGAGTTCACAGGAAGCAAGCTAGCACGGCCAGAGAGAAGGGGCCAGGGTCTCCACGTGCAGCCCTTAAGAACCTTAAGAACCTTCCCTTATGTCATCCTGACTTCCCTTCACCCCGCCCTCATGGGCGAGTCCCGGGTCCACTTGGCATCTGTCCGGGTTGCCTGGGGCGGGGCTAGGGTGTCTCCCTACATTACCCCTTTTACTCCTCTCTCCAAATATACTCCTCCTACTCCAGTGATGGTGGCCATGTCAGAAGAGCAGCAGGCAGCAATTGACTGCAGGGGATCAGCCCACCAGGAAACAAACCTCTGATGGGTGAATATTGATAGGCAAGGCCCCAAAAGCTTCAGCCCCCAAATGTCTCTTGCTACTGAGTGTCTTTGCATGTTGGTTGCTATTTTTCTTTGGTATCTGGCATGGTGTGAATGGGTATAGGGGAATCCCCACTGACCTTAATGTAGCTTGGAAATATCTTACTCTACTGGGCATTTTTTTTAACCTGTGGATTATTATAAAGATGATTTCTTCCAAAGCTGTACTGTTTAAATAAAGCAATGATTTAA